TGGCTCTGTGGGCTAAGCAGGGGACTACTAACTGCAAGGTTGGTAGCGCAAACCTAGCAGCCCATCTGCAGAAGACACATGCTCTTATCTGCTCCTGTAAACATTTACAGTCTTGAAAACCTGAAGGAGCAATTCTACTCTGACCTATAGGGTCGCTACTGGGTCAGAAGTACCTTGATGGTTTTGGGTTGTGGATGGAGAGTGAAATGATAAACTAACAGGAAATCACATATAGTGCTTAGTTTTTAAACATTTATATGGTGTTAACTCTGTTCCAAAAACCTCTTCTAAATACTTTAGAACTATTATTAATCCCCATAATAACCCAATAGGATAGGTCACAGATAAGGAAAGTGTAGCAAAGAGAGTCAAAGTAACTTGCTCAAAGTCATTCACCTACTAATTAGGAGAACTGGAATTTGTACCCAGGTGATCTGTCTCTTCAGTCTATGCTTGACACCTCTGCCTACTAGCTAATTAAATAATCAGCCCTGGTCCTAACAAGACTGTTGTTCCAATGAATGTCAAGGAGAGTGCCTTTGGGCATTAGTTCTAGGTCAGTAATATTCTCTGTCTCTTATAATAGTTTTATCAAGAAACATCTACTAAATTGCAGAGGATGTTGTGTCAAATACTTCTTGAGTTTGATTGGATTTAGAAATCAGAATCGAGGGCACAGGCTCTCGGCCAAGGCGCTCTTTGACAAGTCTGGGGTATGATTCTTGTCTCAGCTTTTTAATCCTGGCATTTCTTTGTTCTTTAGTATCCACCTTTCTCCAATTTGTGCTTCCTTGCTTCTCTACCTAATCTGCTCCTTTTCTATCTCAAAAGTTATTGGTTTGTAACATACTCTACATTGATATAGGGAGTCCTAGTATGGCACTGGTAGTGTAGTGGTTACGAATCGGGCTGTGAACCGTAAGGCCAGCAGTTCAAAACTACCGGCTGTTCCGTGGGAGAAAGATGAGACTTTCTTCTCCTGTAAAGATTTACAGCCTCGGAAACCCTGTGCAGGGTCACTATGAGTCGGAACCAACTCGATGGCACACAACAACAACAACAGTATGGCACTATAGGATAAGTACTGGATGGCAAAGTTGGTTTGAACTGAAAGGTTGGTGATTCAAACCCACCAGCGGTTGCTCAGAAACCCCATACAGGGTTGCCATGAGTCGGAACCGATCCTATGGCACTTAACAACGACAACACTAACATAGACCTGGTGTGGCACTGTAGGATACACAACACTGATATGAAAGGAACATTGGTGGTGCAGTGGGTAATGCATTGGGTTGCTAACTGCAAGGTTAGCAGTTCAAATCTACCAGCTGCTTCAGAGAAGAAAGATGAGACTTTTTAGTCCTGTAAAAATTTACAGTGTCAGAAACCCTATACAGGGTTGCTATGAGTCAGAACCTACTCCGTGGCACACAAGAACCACTACTCTGATATGACCTCATGAACATAACATAGAAAACCTTATTGCTAAATGGAATTACATTCACAGGTATATGGGTTAAGACATAACAACACATATTTTGGGGGGACACAATGCAATCCACAACAGGGAGATGGGAAGTTTCATTTCCTGATGATGAAACTGAGGCTCAGATCGTGAGCCACAGGGTTAAAATTCAAATCCAGTAATCCTGACTCCAAATTCCGTGTTGTTTCCCCCACATGAAACCCATTTCCTGCAATCTGAACTTTGCTGTTACCTTGGCAACAGGGAAGAACACTGAGTGCCTGGAAACCACGGTATTCCTTTCCTTCTCTGTGTGCCGAAAAGGTGAAAGTTAAGCTGAGGTCATCTCAACTACTGAGTCTTGTGTTAAGTTTTCCTCTTCATGTACTACATTGTATTATTTGTTAGAACCTAGAACGCTTGTCACTAAAAACTCATTCATGATGGGCTTCTTGGCAGATATATCAGGTATGATGTCTTTTTTGGCCTGAGACCAGTCATTCTGTTTCTTTGTCCCAGTTACCTGAGAGGAAGTGAGTGTGAGGCAGGGAGTAAGGTTTTTAGGCCTGCTTGGAACTCACTTTTCACCTTTGGACAATGTTGCCATTTTATTCTCAACAGCTCTTGTGAGGATTGGCTATTAGGCAAAAATGAAGGGCCTTTGCCTTTCAGTTGATTTGAAGCAACAAACTTTTTAAAAGTAGCTCTGATAAGGAATAGTCTTTAACAGGAAACAATCATGTCTCTGTGGATAATTTTTCATCCAACTATGAAGTTATGAAGCGTCAGATATGTCATTTAAGATTTTGCCAGCAGGTGGCACTCTCTCCTTTCCACTCACCAACTACTATCTTTCCCCAAGAAAAGAAACACTCATCCTAGTTAGTGCTATGGAGTTCCTCACAGTTTTCTTAGACTCTAGTTTAAAACCTGGTGGTAGACTCTAACTCATAGTAACCCTATAGAACAGAGTAGAATCAGGGTTTCTGAGGCTGTCTGTGGCACTGTAGAATCAGCACTGGTCAGCAGGTCAAACCCACCAGCTGCTCCTCCAAAACCCTATACAGGGTTGCTGTGAGTCGGAACCAACTTGAAGGCACTTCCAGAAGCATACTGTCATGTCTTTTCCGCCTTGCAGCAGCTGGTAAACTCAAACTGCCGACCTTTATGGTCTGAACTCTCCTTAGACTGGACCACCTCTTCTCAGTTCCCCTTTGTACCTGTTCAGGCTACAGTATCTGTTTGTGAAATTTTAATTTATTGAAACCCTTTTCCACCAAGGATTTGACATGAGAAAAAGGAAAATATAAAAATTGATCCGGGGCTGCAGATCTCGGAAGCAAAAGAGTTGTAAAAGCTTTCATTTAGGTCTTTGGGTGAACAGAGAAGGGGAAGAAGGGAAAGACTTTTCCAGCATTAATATAAAAAAAAGTCCCTAGGATTTTTTTTCTTTCTTTAGTATGGGTATCTTTTCTTTCTTTTTTAATGTTTTATTGTGAATTATGTGATAGTTTACATGGGAGGACATATCCTGTCATATATCCTTTCATTGCCATGATTACAATCCCCTCTGTGCATCATTAACCAGCCAAAGAGTATACCCTGCAAGCCTGGCCCCTGGTCGTCAGCACACAGCCCTCTCCTCTCTGGGTCTAAAGTCTCCTGCCATTCCATCTCTCCATGTTATCGTCTCTGCCTCCATCTCTGGTGTCACTACTTCTCTGGGTAGGGTCCCGCTCTCCTCTCTCTTCTCTTCTCCCTTGATGGTCCCAGGGACCTCTGCTCCTAGACTGCAAAGTCAATCACTCCCCTCCTTTTGCTACAAAATGTCTACCTTTACATTTCCAACCCTCACAATCAGTTCTGATAATAACTGTTCACTATTGTACCACAAGAGACCTATCCCCATCTCTTTTCATCAGCCCCATTGGATACTACTCACTGGAGATTCTACCTTCCTCCACGCCCTCTGGATCTAGGCTCCCTTTTGAAAGCTTGTAAAACAGTCACTTCTTGCCTTTGTAGCTCCCCTCACCCTCATTTTGGGTAGCCAATGTCCAAGTTTCCCATCCCTGTCTACTCTGTGTATGGATGGGGTGGGAATGATCTTTGCTGTAAAGATTTGTTCCCTCTTTGAGCTACTGCATCCATAGGTGTAGGTCAAGTTCATCAAATTGTATCAGATTACTCTTTTTTCCCTCTTTCTTCTTCTTCTGGTTGAGCTGTGATCATCCAGTCATTAAAGCTAGGTCAAGTGGGTATTATCTGCAAGTGTGGGTGTTCTTATGCATATGCCCTCTCTTCTTATCAGCTGGACGCTTCACTCTCCACTCTAGTCCTCTGTGGCTGTCATTCACTCTGATTCCAAGAGTTCCCAGGTCTTGCCACACTGCTAGCCGACCAGGTCTCCCTCCACCAGGGTTCACAATAGTCTGTTGAATGTTGTAGGACTTAGGTCACAGCTTCATTGCTCTTTTTCCCTCACTTCCCCTTATCGGTGTGTCCCTAGGAATTTTGAAGGCAAGATCCTGCCGTTCTTTACTTATAGCTCACCTAATTTTCAATACTTTACAGGACTGAGTAGTACTAGTGCTAACCTGCAGTCACCGGCCTATGCAACAGCATTTACACATCAATCAACGTTTAAGATGTCAGGCTGTCCACTCATTCATCCTTCCATCAATCCTACATAAATTGAGCCCCGATTGTTTAACAAACCTTGTCCTGGGCACTAGGAGCAGAAGCATATCTATTAGCTAGGCTCAGGTAACTGGTGTGGCACTGTAGGAACAGCACTGGACTGTGAACCACAAGGTTGGCAGTTCAAACCCACCTCGGAAACATACAGGGTCACTCTGAGTCCGAACTGACTCAACGGCAGTTAACAGCAACAGGCTCAATTGTGACCAAATAAATTGATGATAAAATCTTTTCTCTCAGAGAGCTTTTAACTAGTTGGAGAAAAAGACTGGTATTTGGAGTCATGACAAAATTAGAGAACCGTATCAGACAATGTTATAACTAAATAATACTCATACATTTGTGATTGACCTTAATAGGGATCTAAGCTTATACTTCCTATTTAAAAATAAATCAGTAAATTCTGTCTCTTTCAAATTCTAAGAAATTCGTTTGCTAATTAGATGAAAACTGACATTTTATATTAATAAAGTTTGAAAGGGATGTACTGATCCAAAGTATCTGGGATAGGCCGGGGGTGGGGGGCGGGAAGAGCACGGAAAGCCACTAAATATCCCTCCCCGCACCCAGGATGCCTCACTGGGATAAACTCCACGTCTTGGCCAACCCCGAACTGAAGGACCAGAGTCTTGCCGCCCATTGAAGTCTGAGGTTAGGACGAAGATTTGGGGAAGAGGGGGGGCGTGGTTCCAGGGAACCAGATTCCGGCGTCCAGCCCGGGAGTTGCGTGGCGGGTGCGCTTAGTGGCGCGCGCGGGTTCTATTGTGGGCGGCGCGGAGGCGGGACCGGACCACGCCGTCTCCAGACCACGCCGTCCCCGCAGCAGGCGCGACTGATGGCCGGCCTCGCGCCGCCGGGCTTCCCGGAGCGCACGAACAGCCGCCTGGACGTATTCCTGCGGCGGCACCTGCCACCGGAGATCTACGACGCCATCCGCGCCTACGAGTCTTGCGTGGTAGTGTCCGACTCGGAGAACCGCACCTTCAAGTACGTGGTGCTCAGCGACCGAGTCATCTACCTGACTGAGAACCCACCCAAGTCCATTCGGCAAGCCGTAGCACTGCGGGACGTCGTGGCCATCGATCTGGTGAGGAGGGCGAGCGGGCGGGCGGCCGCGGGAACGCAGCGAGAACCCCCTTTTTCGGGCTCCCCCCTTTCTAGCCTTTCCGTCTGCGGGAAGAAAGAAGCGAAAGAGGAAGATCTCTCCATCCCGCCCTGGACTCCCGCACTCTACTAAGTTCAAAACCAGTAGCCACAAACGAAAGCTGTGCACTCCAAATAAAGATGACTTTTTCTTTGTTTTTTTTTTTTTTCTTGCTTCTCACACCCTCAAGCTTCCTCCTGTCTTCTCCCCCAGGCGTGGAGCCACGGCGTGAGAACTTACTCTCTCTCTCTCTCTCTCTCTCT